AAAATATGAAAGTGTTTACGGTCGAACTAAAAATAATATTCAAATAATATTCAAGGACTCGGTGTGAAAATCCGTATATTCTTTATTTGTATTTTATTGACATATTCTGTCTTCCTTTGATTTATTTTGGTCGAAAAACGGATAGATTACATACAATCCAAAAATCCGTATATTCTTTATTCGTATTTTATTGACATATTCTTTCTTGCTTTTTTATATTTATTTCCGTCGAAAAACGGGCAAATATTAATCAACACCCGCACTCACAAACTCCCCTCCCCCCCCCACCTCATTCCATATAGCAAAGAAACAACCAAATTCTGCCAAGTCGACAACCCGGGCAACACGTTTTCCTTGTCAACCAAAAACCAAATTCAACTCAAATACAACAAGAAGAAATTCAGGAAGAAGGACAAGGAAATCAGTTTGGGTTTCGTGTGCAAAGTGGCCGTCGAAGGTAAGTAAAAAGGGAGATAAAGAGAGTGAGAGAGGGAGAGGAAGAGGAGGAAAGGAGAGGGAGGAGGAAGAGGGGAGAGGAAGAGGGGCAGGGCGAGAGGGAGAGGAAGAGGGGGGAGGAAGAGAGGGAAAGGAGACAGGGAAAGGAAGAGAGGGAGAGGAAGAGGAAGAGTTGGTAGAGGAAGAGGAGGAGGAAGAGAGGGAAGGAGAGGGGGGAGGAAGAGAGGGAAGGAGAGGGGGGAGGAAGAGGGGGAGGGAGAGTTGGTAGAGGAAGAGGGGGAGGGAGAGTTGGTAGAGGAAGAGGGAGAGGGCGAGAGGGAGAGGAAGAGAGGAAGAAGGAGAGGAAGAGAGGGAGAGGAAGAGGAGGAAAGGAGAGGGAGGAGGAAGAGGGGGAGGAAGAGAGGGAAGGAGAGGGGGGAGGAAGAGAGGGAAGGAGAGGGGGGAGGAAGAGAGGGAGAGGAAGAGGAGGAAAGGAGAGGGAGGAGGAAGAGGGAGAGGAAGAGGAGGAGGGCAAGAGGGGGAAAGGAAGAGGGGGAGGGAGAGTTGGTAGAGGAAGAGTGGGAGGGTGAGAGGGAGAGGAAGAAGAAGAGGGCGAGAGGGAGATGAAGAGGGGGAGGAAGAGAGGGAAGGAGAGGGGGGAGGAAGAGAGGGACAGGAAGAGGGGGAGGGCGAGAGGGAGAGGAAGAGGAGAGGGAGAGGGAGAGGAAGAAGAGGAGGGCGAGAGGGAGAGTAAGACGAGAAGAGACAGGAAGAGGGAGAGGGAGAGGGGGAAGGGAAGGGAAGTGGTGAGATAGAAGGAAAGGAAGAGGAGAGTAGAGGGAGAGGGAGAGAGCAAGGAAGAGGGGAAGGAAAAGAAAGAAGGTAAGGAAAGGAGTGGGAGAGGGGAACGGAAAGAGAGAGAGAGAGAGATGAGAGAGAGACGGAGAGAGAGATGAGAGAGAGAGAGAGAGAGAGAGAGAGAGAGAGAGAGTGAGAGAGAGAGAGAGAGAGAGAGAGAGAGAAGAGAAGAGAAGATAATGGGCATGAGATGAATAGATAGAAGGACGAAGAAATAGAGAAAAAAAATAAGACTATTGAGATATACGTTTATGGTATATATTTGAATTAATGATAACACACTCTCACACACACACGCACAAGTACACGCATACAACACCCCCCTCTGCATTTTCTACTGTACTCTGTACTTTACTCTCTCTCTCTCTCTCTCTCTCTCTCTCTCTCTCTCTCTCTCTCTCTCTCTCTCTTTCTCTCTCTCTCTCTCTTACTTACACATTCACTCTCTCTCTCCCTATCCAACTCTGTTTCTGTCTCTGTCTGCCTGTCTGTCTGTCTGTTTGTCTGTCTGTCTGTCTGTCTGTCTGTCTGTCTGTCTGTCTCTCTCTCTCTCTCTCTCTCTCTCTCTCTCTCTCTCTCTCTCTCTCTCTCTCTCCCTCTCTCTCTCTCTCTCTCTCTCTCTCTCTCTCTCTCTCTCTCTCTCTCTCTCTCTCTCTCTCTCTCTCTCTCTCTCTCTCTCTCTCTCTCTCTCTCTCTCTCTCTCTCTCTCTCTCTCAACAGACCCCGCCAAACTCACTCCAATCATTTCCAAATCTTACTAATCTTTCTCTCCCTCCCCCCCTCTCCCTTCTCCTTCCCTCTCCCTCCCACCCTTCCTCGCAGGTTCGACCCAAGCTGACCTCCTTCTGGGAAATGAGGCCGACTGTGGGAAAACCTTTGACTTGGAGGTCGGCCAGTCAGCTGTGGTTGCGTCGACGGCCTCGGGAGGGAGCTGTTCCATCGATATTAATGTGAGTAAAAACAAATCCGGATTAGCGAGAGTAAAAAAAAAGGAAACTATGGGTTGATTAGAGAAAAAGTAAAGACGGATTGGTCACACTAACCTGGTCCGGATCCAAAGACAAAGGGGATTTATGTAAGAGAAAAACTGGGGGTTTTGCGTGAGTCTGGTAAAGAGAGAGAGAGAGAGAGAGAGAGAGAGAGAGAGAGAGAGAGAGAGAGAGAGAGAGAGAGAGAGAGAGAGAGAGAGAGAGAGAGAGAGAGACAG